CTCGTTTTTATTCATTCTAGGATAAAGGCTAATTAATTATATTCTGACTCGGATATCAACCAGGCAACGATCGCACGGTTGTGAGGTATCACATGGGGGAGGAGTCAGTGCATGCATTTGAGGCGAGGAGTCGTACGTTGACGAAAGGAGAGGTGAGGCGTGCGGTTATTTGCGTTCGTTGTTGGACGAGGGGTTTCTGGCCTTTCAGAGAAATTTGCTGTCTTGCGGAAAAACTTCCCCCGGTGTACCTTTTTCGCGTTTTTTTTTCCTATTTTCATATTGCTATATACCCCCCCTTCCGCTCGACTGGAAAATTTGAGGAAAAAAAACAGCAAGCTTTCCGAGGAAAGTTCGAAGAACCAGTAGGAAGTTAGGAACCAGTTGGACAAAATGTATGTATGTGGGATCGTACGATGAAACCATCTTATCGCGCAGACGAGGGTTTTACCCTGACCACCATTTCAACATCACATTGCGGCTGTACCCTGCTCCCTACGAGTGTGACGTGAATTGTCCTGTGCCAGGTTGTGTAATCATGAATCTCGCTTTTTCTTCCTCTTTCGTGCGCTATCCGTACACTCTCTCCCCTCGACCTCAACGGCGTCGCCCCTTTTTTTGAGGAAAAAGTGGAGAAGTTCCAGATACCTCGACGAAAATGGTAGGAAGTTGGATGAGTTTAATGGCGAGTAAAATGGGGTGGGAGTGGAGTGGGGGACGTATCTTGCAAGAAATTCCCCTATACACCACCCGTCCCCTAATAAACAGACGTTGCGGCCTAGCCTGTCTTATCTTGTTGTGACGCCCAGAAAGTGGAATAGGTGCCAAACCAGTCCGAAGGAACAGGAGGTCATGAATTAGCATAGTGAGGAATGAGCCGACAATGTATGGACGCACACATAAGCTTAAAGCACAGTTCGCCGACCGCCAAATTGCCTGCGAACCGAGTTCAAATAGGCACAAAAAAGAGCTATGTATCAGATTAGCGGAGAAAAGCAGCAGAAAAAGCAGTCCGAAATGTTATAGAGAAAGATAAGATAGTGGCTACTAGCTAGTGGCTAGCAGCCGGTGAGGGCGGCATGGGCCTAAGGGTCAATGCGGCCTTAATCAGATAACTTTCAGCGGAATCCTTGCCGATTTTTCACAATTTGCATAATAGACGCAGCCTCACAGGATATCACCATTCCGGATCTTCCGACCCATCCTGAAAAGGTCATGCTTTATCTTCATCGCGCAATGGTCTATTAATAAGCCCTGCTCCATCTTGGTGGGTGGGGGTTACCACCGAATGGGCGGTGCTAGGCAAAACTGCAAAATGTGCAAGTGCAAAAATGTACTGCTTCCGATACATTTTGACGGAAAAAATTGTTAGTGAAGGCAGAAGATCTTGTATGAATTGTATGAGTCTGTGTGTGCGTGTGTGTGGGCGTTTCCAAGAGGGCAATATCTTTTTCAAAAAAAAAATCGTTACTAAACTCAAGTAAAAAATGGATGAATATCGGGGGTGGATTGGCGTATCATGTGAGGAAGACATATCCGCAGTGAACGGGACTAAAATCGAAAATCCGCAATTTGGTATAGGAGCATTTCTTGTTCTCGCCAACATCGCAAGTCTTTGTAAAGTCGTATTACTGACTCAGATACATTCACAAGCTAAAAAAAGACGCCACAGGGTACAGCATCGTGATGTGTGAAATGGTGATGTAAGCACGACCCCCTCCCTTCTTCCTAGAGAAGGGGGTCAACGCGACCCCCCCCCACCTAAATGGCGGGGGATCTCGATACACCCCTCTTCTCCAACACCTACCCACCAGTTTCCCACATTTTCCAGTTTTCGTCCAGATTTCGAGGTAGGAAGGTATATAGCCAACGTGAAACAGGAAAATTTCTCAGATTTACCCCAACTTTCTCTCACTTTTTTCCGGAATTTCCCCACATTTTCCAGTTTTTCACCCAAAAAAATTTTCCGTCGTCGAGAGTGAAGAGGGGGAAGGGGGTATATAATACACATGAAACAGAAGAATCACGCGAAAAGTCAACAACCAGGAAAAATTTTTTGTCAACGCAGCAAATTGCTCTTAAAGGCACATACGACTCCCTCTCCCAACGACCAAATACGACCCCCCCCCCTCCCCAGCGTACCCTGATACGCCATGCTCGGTACAACTCAAAAGAAAGTTCTCAACACAAACCTCTGATTACACTTTAAGGCAAATAAAATGCCATCTAGGGGACACAATTCCCATATTCAAACCCCCTCATCACCAGCCGTTCACTATCTCTCAAAAATGGCATAAGGGACAGAAAACAAGTTGATGAAACTCCAGAAGGGAAACTGGTCCGATCAATATTAGAAAGGGCGTTCGTCCTGAATGTCCTGCCTGTTTTCAATTCCGTTGAAGAAAAAAAAGTAATCATCCATTCATTACATGAGCCACCCTTCAGGGGGACAGCTTATTTGACCAACGTACGAACTTTTTCCGGTATGGTTGTACTTTAACAGACAAGGCGAGAAAGGGTAGGGGGAAGGTGGGAGGGAGGAAGGGTTCCCGACGCTCTCATTCATCGTGTTTAAATCTCGGGTAGTGTAACGACAGCTAAAGGCGACGTCCATAATCGTTGTGCGAAACTCATATGCTTCAGAGAATTTTATCACGAGAGCGCTGAATTGTGGGCAAAAGTCAAAGAGACAAAGATAAAAGTCAAGTCAAAGAAACTGTTCCTAATTTTGACGGGCGCAAAGATTAGTGTTTCTGATAGATGGACCACACTCGCACTCCTCTGCTTCCTCGCATGGCGGCTAGATTTCGTAAAAAAGTGGTAAGATGGTAGGTAGGATGGGGAAAGGGGTCGTGCCGAGAACTTCCTTCGAGGGGATCAAGCTCAATACACCGTTTCACTCATCCCGATGTTGTACTCTGAGTGAAGGCTCGGTACAGACTTATCATATGTGCAAAGACGCCTAATCACTGTTCCTCGTTGGTGAGTCCATCACGCAAAAAAGGAAGGGGCGCCAATGGGGAATGGGCAGTAGTAAGGTGTTTTCGCTCACGATGAAACAGTCCTATGAACGGCATGTATTAAAAAAAAGAGCCACTTCGCTGTGGATGTTGGGGCACACCATGCAGGGTAGGTTTGGCGCGGCACCAGTCCAATTTCCACCAACTGTGATCACTTGCCGGCTTCCACAAGTTGGCGGAAAACGGGCTGGCGCCGCGCCTCACCCACCCCCTCCCCTTCTCCTGAAACATCCAAGCATCCGCAGCGAGTAAGACTGTATTTGTGGTAAGTCTTTAATTTCCCAAATTGGTACCGTGAAAGAAGTGCCGAACACTCGGGCGTTGATGTGCCACGATCCCTATTCCATTGCTCTTTATCCTCAATTTCAAAGTCAAGCGAGCTGTGTTCGACAATAAAAACCCGATTTTCGGGTATTGTCAGGAGACGTCGTGGCGACGAGCAGAAACATGGAAGTTGATTTGCCCTGATTCATTTGTTCCGAATGACAGGACGAGACCCTAGCATGCAAGCCAATACTATACTGCCGATTGGCACCGTTTTTGGACAGTGGGCGGAGCCTCTGACAGTGGGGCGGGTCTTCACGTAGCAGACCAAAAACGCAAAAATTCTGAAAAACATCAAAATTCCGCAAAAAGCGAAGTGAGCGTGGTCAAGGGGGCTGAGCCTAGATCGCCAAACCGTTTAGAGAAAACCAAAACTC